GCTCGAGATACGTTTTTACGCCATCGAGATCCCTTCGTGTACCATCAGCCCATGAGACCTCATGCGGGGACAGGTAGAGCACAGTCAACTTACCACCGGAGCGCCGTGTTCTGCTCCGTGAGCCGGTCGATCTGCTTTGATGCAGAATCCATCTGCTTTTCGAGTTGCGAGTTGCTTTGCTGTAGCAACTCTCTGCTTCCCTCTAGCGCAATTACTTTCTCCTCCAGGCAGTCAATCCTGCCTTGATAGGAACCTGACTTCTTTTCCAAGTCAAATGCTCGAGCATCCAGCCGAGTAGAACAGAGCTGGAGCTGATCTGTCTAATATAAGATCCAAGTTCGGCTCAAAGGAGTATTTATTGACGTTAGCGAACAAGTCGGAGGAATCAGCTGTCATCTGTTCAGACCCTAGGTTGTTTCGATATAAGATCGCCGGTGTAGGGCTCGAAGGAAAGGTCCATTCTCCCAAGTAGCATTAGGGTTGTCAGGGCCACCAGCGCAGAGTGCAACTTCGCTCTCTGGAGGCGTGATGCTGTAGATACTCATACCCGGACGGCAAGACTGGTCATCCATCGTTGTACGAAGTATCTCCCAAGCAGTCCTCTAGCTTGACCAAACAGGTTTTATACTATACATTACTTAGAATCATCCTTGCGCAGTTATCGTCGAACATGCTTCGTGGTCTATGCTAACGATGTGCTACCAAAAAAGATTACGATTTCAAAGGCGTCCGCGTGCAATACAGTATGATGCTATATTTAGAATTATGGCGCAGATATCTTCATCGTCATAAGGACGGTGTCTCTTGGCTGACAGATCTGAAGATGCTGGTAAGATGAAGGCGCTGATCATCTGGGAGAATGTACTAACAAGGCCAACAGGACCAGAACTACCCCATTCCGATTCACGTAACTCCAAAACTATTCGAGACTTGCCCCCGTTCCAAGAAGTTTAAATTGGTTCAGAGAAGAGATAGGGTAGCCGATGATGTGAATGTATGAGCAGCAAGATCTCCGAGAGATTTCGCACAGTCCGTCATAGATATAAAGCTCAAAGGCATCCGAAAACCATTCCGCCATTTATGACGCTTGGAGAAGTCAGTCTCATGTATTATATTCTTAGGCGCTCTGTAGCCGGCATATGCGGCTTGTTTATCTTTTCGGTTGAGCGCATGAACACTTGCTGGTCGACCAGGTATCTCACGTCGGTATGGTGTGGGTAGAAAGTGAACGTAGGAGAGGAGGGCGCGCAAGGATTCGGCATAGTCGAGAACTGGCTGTTGAACACTGCTACACTGCGACTCCTTTTCTCGAGTCGCGAGACTCAGCCTGCTGCCAATAAGCATACCACCTCTTCGACGAGCTCCGCGGCCCGCGTAAGCAGACTTGAGCCGACTTCGACGTCGACTTCAACTCCGCACTGCACGCCTGCCGGGGCATATGCGACACCAACCTCTCTATCCGTCGTTTCGCCAACTGCGACCTCTGCTCATCAATCTCCTACGTACCAGCTCCTGCATATATCAAATCTGCAACCTTTTCCACATTCTCTATCTATTCAGCCCCTGCAACAACCTAAAAAGCTTCACCATAACAACGCCTTTCAACCCCTATCTTTCGGTGCCCATCATAACGGTCCGCCTCACTACAACTCAGGTCACTCTGGATTGCCTTCTCCACCTCTACGAAGCCTCTCCATCAAGCGCACAGCATCACAAACGCCACTAGTCGATGAATCGCCGCAGAACAATCTTAGCTTCAAAGAAGAAATGTGGCAGAAGATTGCACCGGAGATGGGTGTTCCGTGGCGCTCTGCTGTTCTAACTAAACGCTGCTGCCACGGCTGGACTAGAGGCTGCGTCTACTTCACTCTCATCCCAAAACTCAGAGTCGGAAAGATCCGAAGCACCGTGTATAAGACTTTGAATCTTTACTACTAGAGAACCGACCAGATCGCACGATTAATGCGGACGAGGAACAGCTGAAAATCACATTCACTGCTCTCGTGGAAATTCTGTCTGGAGAACTTCGTTGATTATCAGATAAATGTCCTGCGCTATACAATGGGGCCCACGGTTCCATAGCAGCAGGTTCGCAAAGCCCATAGTCAATCAAACTTCGCTTCTCTCTCTCTCATCATGTCCATGGCCATCTTGCCACCGTCTTATAGAGTTAGTCGAGTGCATATATCAAAGTTGGCAGTCTTACAGTCGCGTAATAACCCCCAATATATAATTGAATACTATCCAACTTAAGGGCAATAGAGCACTTCGCCAACCTCTCATGATAATAGCGGTTGGGGATAAAGTTTGGTTGTCGTGGGACTAGGAAGACTGGAGATACACAGCAGTGGGTAAGGACGGGGGAGGGGGGACTACGATTGTGGACTCGGATTCTCCAGTCCCTCATGCACTCAAGTTTAAGTGATACCAACGCAGACACCCACCGTTTCGGCGGTAGGCGATCTGGTGGGATCTGGCGCTATTGATACTTGTGTTGAGAATTATAATTAGCAACTGTCGTCGATCTACCGCAGTCGTATCTGCACTGAATCCATGGTCGACTCAGAGCTAGACGCTACTTTACCTCTATACAAGTGTTCGAAATGCTGCCTCTGGGCCTGACACAATCATGGGCTGTTCAAGCACGGACAAAAAACTCCTCAATAAAGTTAACATCGCCTTGCCCTTTCCAGGCGACCGTGCAAGGCCTTCTCTAGGGGTGTCTATGCTAAAACCAGTGTCCTCCTAAGTGCTCCCGACTTGAACTGTACATATGCACTTCAACGGTACTATATATATATAAAATAAAGATAGCGACGTCTATATAGCTAATACTGTATATTTATTACTCGTTAACTTCTTCCTAGTTATCTAGGGGTTAAGTACTCATGTTCTAGTTATATTTCTCCATAGTAGGCACTTCCATAGCCTATTTTCGAGCCTATGATTATAATATTAGACGCGACGCGTATATTACGTGATAATAACGCGATAATGACGCGCTGAGGCCGCTAATAATCTAAATTTCGCGTTCCGAAAGTCACGAATGGTAGATTAGACCTTCTCCTCCTTATTTTAGTACGTGTAAGGGACTTTAGGCATGGTGGTATTATTATATTTAAATATATTATCTATATAGTACCGTTGAAGTGCATATGTACATAGGTTACAACTTCGAAGTGCGTGGGACGGGTAGTATGCTAGGAGGTATTGAACAAATTGAGATTTTGTACTCCTGAATTGCCAAGGACTCGATTCTCCGACAGCCGTGAGCAATA